GACTATAGACTAGACTATAGACTAGACTATAGACTAGACTATAGTCTAGTCTATAGTCTAGACTATAGACTAGACTATAGACTAGACTATAGACTAGACTATAGACTAGACTATAGACTAGACTATAGACTAGACTATAGACTAGACTATAGACTAGACTATAGACTAGACTATAGACTAGACTATAGACTAGACTATAGACTAGACTATAGACTAGACTATAGACTGGACTATAGACTAGACTATAGACTAGACTATAGACTAGACTATAGACTAGACTATTGACTAGACTATAGACTAGACTGTAGACTAGACTATAGACTAGACTATAGACTAGACTATAGACTAGACTATTGACTAGACTATAGACTAGACTGTAGACTAGACTGTAGACTAGACTGTAGACTAGACTATAGACTAGACTATAGACTAGACTGTAGACTAGACTATAGACTAGACTATAGACTAGACTGTAGACTAGACTATAGACTAGACTGTAGACTAGACTATAGACTAGACTATAGACTAGACTGTAGACTAGACTATAGACTAGATTATAGACTAGACTATAGACTAGACTGTAGACTAGACTATAGACTAGACTATAGACTAGACTATAGACTAGACTATAGACTAGACTATAGACCAGACTATAGACTAGACTATAGACTAGACTATAGACTAGACTATAGACTAGACTATAGACTAGACTATAGACTAGACTATAGACTAGACTATAGATTAGACTATAGACTAGACTATAGACTAGACTATATACTAGACTATAGACTAGACTATAGACTAGACTATAGACTAGACTATAGACTAGACTGTAGACTAGACTGTAGACTAGACTATAGACTAGACTATAGACTAGACTGTAGACTAGATTATAGACTAGACTATAGACTAGACTATAGACTTGACTATAGACTAGACTATAGACTAGCATATAGTCTAGCCTATTGTCTAGTCTATGGTCTAGTCTGTATTGTGGTCAACAATCTAGTCTATAGTCTAGTCTATAGTCTACACTAGACTACACTAGACTAGACTATAGACTAGACTATAGACTAGACTATAGACTAGACTATAGACTAGACTATAGACTAGACTATAGACTAGACTATAGACTAGACTATAGACTAGACTATAGACTAGACTATAGACTAGACTATAGACTAGACTATAGACTAGATTATAGACCACAATACAGACTAGACCATAGACTAGACAATAGGCTAGACTATATGCTAGACTGATATGTTCTAGACTAGACGTAGCATCTGACAAATAATATATGAGACCCAAATCTTTTGCAAATACCGTTAAACGATTTACTATAAAAATGAATTTTTTGGCAAATAAAGCGTTCGTGTGCCTTTTGACTATAGGATTTTATTTGTTTGCTGATGGTGTCTTCAATTTAATGGTGTAAGAATAATGATGATGATGATGTTGTTATTTGTTTTTCTGCAAAAATCTTTTTTTTTTAGCCTGGCGGCTGGTCGAGAGATCATCAAGATATTCGTGGGTGGTGTTCTTGTTCTTTTCTTCTTTTTGTTGCAGATTTCATTTTTTGTTTCAATTATTTTTTTATCTCTTACATGAATGACCAATAAAATATTTCTACAATTTTCACCACAGATTTAATGTTGGCATTTTTTTTCGTGTTGGATACACAAGAGTGTTTGGATAAAAATGTCTTGTTTACTTATTATTTCTGATATGTTCTGATTTCGAATGAGTTTTGTATGTAAACATCTGAATTGTATATAATATACAAGTATTCAGATGTTTTGTATTTTGTTTAAAATTTTATTTTTGAAAAAAATTAAATTTTGCATTAAATCTAAACCACATTTAAGAAAAAAATTCTGAAATAAAAAACATCATTAAATAGTTATTTTGTTTTCGGTGAATATAATTTGTTTGAAGATTTTTTTTGTTTATTTTAGATTGTATTGTAGGAAAATCGGAAATTTGTGAAAAGATACAGGGTGTTTAGGTTTTTGTGAAAATGAAATTTTTAATGAAAAATAAGAATTTTAGAAAAAACATTGGACTTATTAGTACAAAATTAACATTCTGAAGACTAGACTATAGGTCTAGTCTATAGTCCAGACTATAGACTAGACTTTAGACTAGACTATAGACTAGACTATATACTAGACTATAGAATAGACTATAGACTAGACTATAGACTAGACTATAGACTAGACTATAGACTAGACTATAGACTAGACTATAGACTAGACTATAGACTAGACTATAGACTAGACTATAGACTAGACTATAGACTAGACTGTAGACGAGAATATAGACTAGACTATAGACTAGACTATAGACGAGAATATAGACTAGACTATAGACTAGACTATAGACTAGACTATAGACTAGACTATAGACTAGACTATAGACTAGACTATAGACTAGACTATAGACTAGACTATAGACTAGACTATAGACTAGACTTTAGACTAGACTATAGACTAGACTATAGACTAGACTATAGACTAGACTATAGACTAGACCTATAGACTAGACTATAGACTAGACTATAGACTAGACTATAGACTAGACTATAGACTAGACTATAGACTAGACTATAGACTAGACTATAGACTAGACTATAGACTAGACCTATAGACTAGACTAGACTAGACTATAGACTAGACTATAGACTAGACTATAGACTAGACTATAGACTAGACTATAGACTAGACTATAGACTAGACTATAGACTAGACTATAGACTAGACTATAGACTAGACTATAGACTAGACTATAGACTAGACTATAGACTAGACTATAGACTAGACTATAGACTAGACTATAGACTAGACTATAGACTAGACTATAGACTAGACTATAGACTAGACTATAGACTAGACTATAGACTAGACTAGACTAGACTATAGACTAGACTATAGACTAGACTATAGACTAACTATAGACTACGAGACTATAGACTAGACTATAGACTAGACTATAGACTAGACTATAGACTAGACTATAGACTAGACTATAGACTAGACTATAGACTAGACTATAGACTAGACTATAGACTAGACTATAGACTAGACTATAGACTAGACTATAGACTAGACTATAGACTAGACTATAGACTAGACTATAGACTAGACTATAGACTAGACTAGACTATAGACTAGACTATAGACTAGACTACAACTAGACTACAAACTAGACTACAAACTAGACTATAGACTAGACTATAGACTAGACTATAGACTAGACTATATACTAGACTATAGACTAGACTATAGACTAGACTATAGACTAGACTATAGACTAGACTATAGACTAGACTATAGACTAGACTATAGACTAGACTATAGACTAGACTATAGACTAGACTATAGACTAGACTATAGACTAGACTATAGACTAGACTATAGACTAGACTATAGACTAGACTATAGACTAGACTATAGACTAGACTATAGACTAGACTATAGACTAGACTATAGACTAGACTATAGACTAGACTATAGACTAGACTATAGACTAGACTATAGACTAGACTATAGACTAGACTATAGACTATAGACTAGACTATGACTATAGACTAGACTATAGACTAGATTATAGACTAGACTATAGACTAGATTATAGACTAGACTATAGACTAGACTATAGACTAGACTATAGACTAGACAATAGACTAGACTATAGACTAGACTATAGACTAGACTATAGACTAGATTATAGACTAGACTATAGACTAGACTATAGACTAGACTATAGACTAGACTATAGACTAGACTATAGACTAGACTATAGACTAGACTATAGACTAGACTATAGACTAGACTATAGACTAGACTATAGACTAGACTATAGACTAGACTATAGACTAGACTATAGACTAGACTATAGACTAGACTATAGACTAGACTATAGACTAGACTATAGACTAGACTATAGACTAGACTATAGACTAGACTATAGACTAGACTATAGACTAGACTATAGACTAGACTATAGACTAGACTATAGACTAGATTATAGACTAGACTATAGACTAGACTATAGACTATAGACTATATTATAGACTAGACTATAGACTAGACTATGGACTAGACTATAGACTAGACTATAGACTAGACTATAGACTAGACTATAGACTAGACTATAGACTAAACTATAGACTAGAAAATATACTAGACTAATGACTATACTATATAATCTAGTACAGGAATCCCATATTTTAATAGACTAGACTATAGACTACACTATAAACTAAACTATAGACTACACTACAAAGTAGAATATAATATTCCACGAGACTATAGATTATAAACTAGACTATAGACTAAACTATAGACTAGAAAATATACTAGACTAATCACTATACTATATAATGTAGTACAGGAATCCCATATTTTTAATATCCTACAAAGTCGTGGTACTATTTTAACATATTTCTACACCCTGTGCCTTCAAATGGGCAGTGTTCTCCTGACCCGCACCATAGCACTGCTGCTGCTCCACATGACTAAACATTATGCGAGTAATAACATTTGTTTTTTCCTTCACGCCACCGGATACATTCAAATCCCCATTAAAATACAAATTTTATTGTGTAAATAAATACACAAAACTACATACAAATGTACATATTTTTTCATAGATTTTTTTTTTGCAGCAAGAAATTAAAAATGAAAATCAGACAAATTATTCAAAATACAAGAAAAAAATTAAAAACAAAATTTTCAAAGAATAAATAAAAAATAATATACACTTACCATTTTCTATACTATCAATACATACAAATACTCACCACAGCCAACACATATACAGACACACTTGTAACTCATACATTCACATCCCTACTCCTACATCTAAACACTTGAATACAAATGTAAATAAATTTGTTTCAGATGCTGTTTATTTGAATATTTCACTTGATTTTTTCGTTTTCAAAACTCACCATTACTCACTGGTTTAAAATATTTTTTTTTGCAAATTATTTTCAGTATGAATACGGTCGTGTAACGGTTATAATCCCGCAAGCTTATCCCAAAGACGCCGGAGTTTATGTATTGACAGCTAAAAATTTAGCTGGTGAAGCTTATAGTTCGTGCAACGTAAACGTTAAAGGACGTCTGCCTAACGAGACATCCGATTCGGAAATGGCTTCCGATATGGATGTAGAACCCATCAAACCCTCTGTACAATTGGCCTTGAAAGATGTTTCGATATTCGAGGGCAAACCAGTGCGTTTGGACTGTGTTATTGTGGGCCAACCGGAGCCCGAGGTGATTTGGTATCATAACGATAGACCCGTGAAAGAATCGGCCGATGTACAGTTGCTGTTTCAGGGTGACAAGTGTTCGTTGATCATACAAGAAGTGTATCAAGAAGATGGTGGCAACTATAAGGTAGTGGCCATCAATTCGGCTGGTGAAGCCTCTAGTAGTTGTGAGCTGAAAGTGACCCCCTTGAATATAGCCGAACCGGCCACTAGGGCCCAATCGGAAAGACAATCGTTGGTCAAAGAATTGGAACCTAAATTTGAGAAATTCCTTAGTGATGTTTTGGTCGATGAAGGTGAAACTGTAGAAATGGAAGTAATGACTAGTGGTGATAAGCCCATGACAGCCAAATGGTTTTTAACCAATAAGGAATTAACCAACACCGATCGTTTCCTAATCGAATCCAATCCCAATGGTGGAGTCTTCAAATTAACCATCAAAAATGTTAACAACGATGACAAAGGAGTTTATACCGTGAAAGTGTGCAATAGTGCTGGTGAAGCTAAATGTTTCTCCCACTTGATTGTAAAGTCGGTGAATGCTCCCGAGAGCCAACGTACGCAACAAGTGGAGATTGTAGAACAAAAGACCTGTCCCGAGTTCAAGGAATTGTTCTCCGACAAAACTGCCAATTTGGAGGATTTGGTGAAATTCGAGTGTATTGTTAAAGGTAAACCCACTCCAAAGGTACATTGGTATTTCAATGATCAACCAGTGCATGGTCATAATTTCCTGGTTTCCACTAGTGGTGAACGGGAAGTTTTGACCATTCAAAAGGTAGGTCCCGATACCGTAGGCAAAGTAAGTTGTGTAGCTGAAAACGATGTGGGCAAGGCAACTTGTGTAGCATTTTTGGGTTTGGTCGGCTCTGGCCTAGAATGTATGCCGGCCCAGAGTAACATGCAAACCATGACTCAAGAACACAACACCGATTCGTCACGTGTCACCATTAAGAAGCAAACATACACAACCACTTCCACCTCACAAGTCAGTTCGTATGAGGGCAATATGCCTCAAACCGAAATTCACCATTCATCGGCTCATATCGATCAGTCATTGAAACAATTGGGTGCTCAACGTCCCGAAATTATGGAGTCACATCATTATCAGGAATTACACAAATCAAAAGATATGTCTTCACCGCATGTCCAACAGAAATCATTTGTACTTGTCCAATCGGCCGCGAATGGCTCCACTGCCTCAAACGCCATTGTACCCAGTTCGCCCACTCGTACACGTCGTGAAATTGCGCCTCGTTTTACTACCCCTCTAACTGGTAAGATTGTTGACCAGGGTGCTGATGTTAGTATGGAAGCCATTTATGACGGTTTTCCATCACCCGAAATTAAGGTCGAGAAAAATGGTGCCCAACTCTTTGACACTGATCGTTTAAAGATTGGCAATAAGTGTAATCGTGTTACCATCGATCTAAAAGAGGTTAATGTTGGCGATGCGGGTCGTTATGCTGTCACCGCCAGCAATACCATGGGTCAATCGACCAGTACAGCCGATTTAGTAGTCAAGAGTAAGTAGATTTTTTCTTTCATATGATTTATTTAAAAATTGCTTGTTTCGAATGTTAACAAAAGTGCAAATCAGACGCGTCGTGCAAGATGAACATTTGTTAAGTATGATATATGTATGTATGAGTGTAGCATTTTGCATTTTCAGTATGAGTTCATTGTCTAGAGATTTTGTTAAATCATTAATGTTTTGATCAGAATTTAATAGCTGATGTTCATAAGGGTGAAACTGTTTGCAAAACTGTGAACAAAATGAAAATACTGTGTATATTTAGTTCTGGTTTGTCCAATATTTGGGATAGAGTCGATAAATTAGCAAGGATATGTTTAGATCATATGAATGTGGATCATAAGGAGCTAAATTGGAATCAAAGTTATAGAAACGCTTAAGAATCGGTCGACAAACAAGAGATTTATAGAACATAAACTACACCATAATGCTAGACTATAGACTAGACTACTCACTAGACTATAGACTAGACTATAGACAAGACTATAGACTAGACTATAGACTAGACTATAGACTAGACTATAGACAAGACTATAGACTAGACTATAGACTAGACTATAGACTAGACTATAGACTAGACTATAGACTAGACTATAGACTAGACTATAGACTAGACTATAGACTAGACTATAGACTAGACTATAGACTAGACTATAGACTAGACTATAGACTAGACTATAGACCAGACTATAGACAAGACTATAGACAAGACTATAGACAAGACTATAGACCAGACTATAGACAAGAGCTAGACTATAGACTAGACTATAGACTAGACTATAGACTAGACTATAGACTAGACTATAGACTAGACTATAGACTAGACTATAGACTAGACTATAGACTAGACTATAGACTAGACTATAGACTAGACTATAGACTAGACTATAAGACTAGACTATAGACTAGACTATAGACTAGACTATAGACTAGACTATAGACTAGACTATAGACTAGACTATAGACTAGACTATAGACTAGACTATAGACTAGACTATAGACTAGACTATAGACTAGACTATAGACTAGACTATAGACTAGACTATAGACTAGACTATAGACTAGACTATAGACTAGACTATAGACTAGACTATAGACTAGACTATAGACTAGACCTATAGACTAGACTATAGACTAGACTATAGACTAGACTATAGACTAGACTATAGACTAGACTATAGACTAGACTATAGACTAGACTATAGACTAGACTAGACTATAGACTAGACGAGAGACTAGACTATAGACTAGACTATAGACTAGACTATAGACTAGACTATAGACTAGACTATAGACCTAGACTATAGACTAGACTATAGACTAGACTATAGACTAGACTATAGACTAGACTATAGACTAGACTATAGACTAGACTATAGACAGACTATAGACTAGACTAAGACTAGACTATAGACGACTATAGACTAGACTATAGACTAGACTATAGACTAGACTATAGACTAGACTATAGACTAGACTATAGACTAGACTATAGACTAGACTATAGACTAGACATAGATAGACTATAGACTTAGACTATAGACTAGACTATAGACTAGGACTATAGACTAGACTATAGACTAGACTATAGACTAGACTATAGACTAGACTATAGACTAGACTATAGACTAGACTATAGACTAGACTATAGACTAGACTATAGACTAGACTATAGACTAGACTATAGACTAGACTATAGACTAGACTAGAGACTAACTATAGACTAGACTATAGACTAGACTATAGACTAGACTATAGACTAGACTATAGACTAGACTATAGACAGAAACTAGACTATAGACTAGACTATAGACTAGACTATAGACTAGACTATAGACTAGACTATAGACTAGACTATAGACTAGACTATAGACTAGACTATAGACTAGACTATAGACTAGACTATAGACTAGACTATAGACTAGACTATAGACTAGACTATAGACTAGACTATAGACTAGACTATAGACTAGACTATAGACTAGACTATAGACTAGACTATAGACTAGACTATAGACTAGACTATAGACTAGACTATAGACTAGACTATAGACTAGACTATAGACTAGACTATAGACTAGACTAGACTATAGACTAGACTATAGACTAGACTATACCATAGATTAGACTATAGACTAGACTATAGACTGTAACGATTCTGTCATAAGGTGGTTTGTTTATGAGAACGATGCTACCTAATATTACGGCCGTGCTCGTCGGTGTGGGGGTGAGGTGTGTTCTCATATCAATAAAAAATACTATAAATGAATCAATTACATAGACTTTACTTTAGGTAGCTACTTAAATAAATGATCCACAAAGACAAGAGATGAAGAAGATGCGGTAAAGGTATTAGTGTAGCTGTTGATGATATTTGCTACACTCTTCCAAAGCCCTCCCTCCATGCTGACAAATATTAGAGTTGATTGTCAGCCCAATAAAAATAAAAAAAAATTAACTAAATCAACCTAACCCATACCCTTGATTTAACTTTTCATGATAATAAAAAAAATTTATGATTTCATATTGAATATTATAATTATATATTGTAATATTTATTAAAATTAAATTATGATAATAATTAAGTAAAGTTGAAGTTAAATGAATTAGTTTACTTAAATTTTATTATCATAATTTAATTTTAATAAATATTACAATATATAATTATAATATAGTCTAGGCTATAGATTAGACTATAGACTAGACTATAGATTAGACTATAGACTAGACTATAGATTAGACTATAGACTAGATTATAGATTAGACTATAGACTAGACTATAGATTAGACTAGACTATAGACTAGACTATAGACCAGACTATAGATCAGACTATAGACTAGACTAGACTTTAGACTAGACTATAGACCAGACTATAGGCTACACCATAGACTATAGAGTGCAGTTTGTCTCTTTACATTATTCTAAAATATGTGAGACACGTGGCCACTTTAAATGTTGTTCTTCTCTGATCTCTATAAATCTAAACAAATTTCAAAGTAGTTTTACAAAAAAAGCGTATAATCAAATTTTGATCGCATATATCATAGAAATGCATAAAATTAAATGTCAAAAAATATTTACAATTGTGTAGTACAATGATCGCATGCAATGGTATTACAAAATAATGTAACATTTGTAAGAAAGAAAAAAAAATTAAATGAAAATTTTTGGCAAACATTTTCATAAATATAAACAAAAATTAAAATTCGAAAACTTTTAAAATGTTTAAAATGCTATTCTAGTTTATGTGTTATTTATTTAATTTTTTTTTTTATAAAACTTGTCGATATATTCTTTATACAAAATGAAAATGACAATGATGATGATCGTGATTATCGTACTGTATTTTTTTTTAATGATGATGATGATGTTTTTGAAGGCATGTGTCCCTGACCAAGTGAATTCAAAGTTGATTTTTTTAAGAAAAAAAAGAAAAACAAATTTAATTTTAAAAATACTTTTTAAACAAAAAATCAATAAATGGAATATTAAGATGAAAATTAATTGACATTTAAACAAGAAAAAGCAATTGAAAGGAAATTTTAGAATTATGTAGAGAGGGATCTAAGGGGTTTGCGTTTTTGAAAAATATTTTTAGAAAAAATAAGAAATTATTTTAAGATTAACTTCTTATTATGATGTCATGTTAATTTCATTAACAAATATTTTCTTATGGGTTCAAAAGTTTCCATATTCCTCCCCTTTTGCAAACGATCCTGTTGAAATAATGTGTTACTGGAGCATGATGCTTTAGGTGGGCGTAGTTTTATTTAAAATTTAATTGAATATAATATTTTTTTATTCAGTTCAAATGTTTATTTTGGCAATTACAATACAAAAATATTTAATTGTTTATGTGTGTGCGTAATTTTCTTTTTTATATTAAAATGTATAGGTGTTGTTTGATATGTGTTTTTTTTTCTTAATTTACTGGAAATTCAAATTAAAATAATTTTTGCTAATTATTTTTAGAAATTGTTATTAAAAATCTTATATGATTTATTTATTTATTTTTGCTAGAAAGAGAAAGTGTAATAAATAATTGTCTGTTAATTATACTTTTTGCACGTAATTTATAGACTCAAATAAACATGATCAATATTCATATATACATATGTATATATAGTATAAGTATAAACTGCTACATAGAGTGTATCCTAAATTATCTTCAAATACAGATGTTACCCAGATGTGTAATAAATATTTCACTTTAGACGGATTTGTGAAAATAAATTTTCTATTTGAATTCTTTTGAATGACAGTTTGTTTATGTTTTGCATATATTGCATTTAAGGTTTATTTCGACAGATTTGCGACCCGCTTTTTTTAAGCAATTGAACTGGATATTTCCTAGTGTCAAGTTTTTGACATTAATGTATACATCGATATGAATGATTGTTACTTGAAAGCAAACACATTTTTTTGGTAGTTGGGAATTGAAAGTGACTTCCTTGAATGTAGTCGAAGAGGTCTTTTAGGGTCCGACTGGGGTCGATTAAGTATTAATAAGTGTAGACAACCCCATGGCAGTAAAAAAATTACACAGATTAAATACAGGCTCAGGCTTTCTCAGGTTTGCAAGATATCGGGTCATAAAGATTAAAAAACCCGTTTTTATATACATATATACTTGACTACAGAAAAGACTATAGACTATGGACTAGACTATAGACTAAACAATAGACTAGACGATAGACTATAATATAGACTAGACTAGGACCAGACTATAGACTAGACTATAGACTAGACTATAGACTAGACTATAGACTAGACTATAGACTAGACTATTGACTAGACTATAGACTAGACTATAGACTAGACTATAGACTAGACTATAGACTAGACTATAGACTAGACTATAGACTAGACTATAGACTAGACTATAGACTAGACTATAGACTAGACTATAGACTAGACTATAGACTAGACTAGACTAGACTATAGACTAGACTATAGACTAGACTATAGACTAGACTATAGACTAGACTATAGACTAGACTATAGACTAGACTATAGACTAGACTATAGACTAGACTTATAGACTATAGACTAGACTAGGACTAGACTATAGACTAGACCATAGACAGGACTATAGACTAGACTATAGACTAGACTATAGACTAGACTATAGACTAGACTATAGACTAGACTATAGACTAGACTATAGACTAGACTATAGACTAGACTATAGACTAGACTATAGACTAGACTATAGACTAGACTATAGACTAGACTATAGACTAGACTATAGACTAGACTATAGACTAGACTATAGACTAGACTATAGACTAGACTATAGACTAGGACTATAGAAGACTAGACTATAGACTAGACTATAGACTAGACTATAGACTAGACTATAGACTAGACTATAGACTAGACTATAGACTAGACTATAGACTAGACTATAGACTAGACTAGACTAGACTATAGACTACTATAGACTAGACTATAGACTAGACTATAGACTAGACTATAGACTAGACTATAGACTAGACTATAGACTAGACTATAGACTAGACTATAGACTAGACTATAGACTAGACTATAGACTAGACTATAGACTAGACTATAGACTAGACTATAGACTAGACTATAGACTAGACTATAGACTAGACTATAGACTAGACTATAGACTAGACTATAGACTAGACTATAGACTAGACTAGAGACTAGACTATAGACTAGACTATAGACTAGACTATAGACTAGACTATAGACTAGACTATAGACTAGACTATAGACTAGACTATAGACTAGACTAGACTAGACTAGACTAGAGACTAGACTATAGACTAGACTATAGACTAGACTATAGACTAGACTATAGACTAGACGATAGACTAGACTATAGACTAGACTATAGACTAGACTATAGACTAGACTATAGACTAGACTATAGACTAGATTATAGGCTAGACTATAGACTAGACTATAGGCTAGACTATAGACTAGACTATAGACTAGACTATAGACTAGACTATAGGCTAGACTATAGACTAGACTAAAGATTAGACTATAGACTAGATTATAGACTAGACTATAGACTAGACTATAGACTAGACTATAGACTAGACTAAAGACTAGACTAAAGATTATAGACTAGACTATAGACTAGATTATAGACTAGACTATAGACTAGACTAAAGGCTAGACTATAGACAGGACTATCTACTAGATTCTCACAAAAAAAATTTTTTTTTGTGAAATTTACCGAAAAATTTTATTGAACAATTTTATTATTAATTTTAGTTCCATAACTCGCCTTACGAAACTAAACGCTTTCGCTTTTAAACAATTATTATTTAAAACTAGAGAGCTATTTTCCAACCCTTGCGCCTAATTGAAACGAAAAAATTATAAATCCCCAAACTAACCGTCAATATTTTGCCATTACAGAAACCATCTTCCCGCCCGTCTTCGGCAGACGTCTGCAAGCTCAAGTAGTTAAAAAGGGTGAAAAAATAATAATGGAAGTAGAGGTGACGGGTTTGCCCGAACCCACAGTGGTTTGGATGAAAGATGAAAAACCTTTGAATGAATCGGGTCTGTCACAACATAGACTACTAACACAAGGCAATACGCATAAATTGATCATCGAAAAGGGTAAGTAGGCAGGAACTTTTGAATTGAAAGATTTCTTAAATTTATTTTATTTATGATTAGGACAAGTTAGCGATTCGGGCAAATACATGGTTAAGGCCACCAATGCGGGCGGCGAAGCCAAAAGTATTGCCGATTGCGCTGTCTTGGAGCCCACACCGGAACGTATGCAAGAAGTGGTGAAGACCATTGTCTATGAGACGCCCAGTGAATTTAAATCTGAAGTAAGTTTGCATGTGAATATTAGAAAATGAGATATCATTACAAGACAGATTGATTGGTTTTAAAGACATTTTTAAATTTATTATATTTTTTTATTTATTTATTTAATTATTTATTTATTACCCTTTTTTATCCCCTTTTTTTATGAAATATCCCAATTTTTATTTGATAAATGCATTTGTATTTATTTTTATGAATTTATTTTATTTTTATATTTATGATATTTTATTTATATTTTATTTAATTTTTTTAATAATTATTTTAAAATTGTAATGATTTTTTATATATTTTACTTGAATACATTTTTTTAAATTAAACTTTATTTTGTACAACTTTTTCTTTATTTTCATAAATTCTTTTTGAAAAAAAAACCACGCGCCTTCTTGTTCAATTATGACAAAAAAACTCTACAATTTTTGAACTTTAAACAAAATGCAAAATTAAACGCTTAAATTATTTATTTGAAAAAAAAAAAAATATATATATATTTAAATAATTTGGGGAATTGCCTTAATAAATATTTAATGGAATTATTTAATGCCTCATCTTTGTTTTTTCAATGCTTCCATCTTTGTTTGAAAACAATTCAAATTTCATTCCTACATTCCAAAAAAATATATATATAAAATGTGATTGTATTGTGATTGTCCTTGTACTACCAATACTACAACTGTCATCTCCAAAATAACCAACAAAAATATTACAATTACAACAACTTACTACTACTCCAACAACACTTTATAGACGCTTGCCAAAGAACCACAGTCGTTCGAAACCCAACAATCTGAAATAACCACCTCCAACGATTTGCATGGCTTATCTGAGTCAAAGATCATAACTGAGCATCGTTGCACTACCGAGGCAACCATGCGTCTAGAACACAAATCCGCCTACTTAGATTTGCCCGAATTACAACAACGTACTAGCAACAACAACACCACTTCAACAGTTCCCACACAAAACGAGATTAAAACTATACCAACAACAACAACAGCAACTAGCACCAACCAATACACTACTACCAACATCCCCATTAACCAGGATGTAACTGATTTCAGTCATCAGTTGGAACAATTAAAATCACTTTCATCCAATTTTGAAAATATGCAGACCAAGATTGGTTATACACAAACCCCACCACCAGTACCACCTAAACCTTATCCACCAGTAACTGCCACTATAGTACCGCCCGTTAATGAAAGCTACAACACCAGCTTCATGAACTCAACCTCAACCAGCAGCGAAAAGAAATCCTCTTCCTTTGAGTATTTCAAAAAAATCGATGAGGTTATTAAGGAAACACCCAAAGAGGAACAAAAGTTTGACCACAAACCCTTAAAGGTGGAAACAAAGAAACCTTCCTTCAATTTGGCAGAAGATTTGAAAAATTTGAATCTGATACCGGGTTCGCCACCCGAAATTTGTTTCATAGCCGATGGCTCTAAACCCAACAAACCCTCTTTAAATGATAAAATACAAAAACTAGAAGAAAGACAATTGAGCGGTAAAGAGCCTCCTCATGGTGGTATCTCTATATTTCCACCTCAGACACCCACTAAGGCTGCCAACACAGCTCCTACATTTGCTCCCAATATGCCTTTGGCTTCGGAGACCTATAGTCATGATACTACTCTAACGAAATCGGTAAAGGTGGAATATGGCCAACCGATCATGAGACCTGCTGCCACTTTACCCACACCAGCCCAACAATTTACACGTTCGCCTTCTCCAAAACCCTCTGCAGAGGGTTTGGCTATGTCTAAACTCTGGACTCCCAATCATGTAAGTGGTTATGAAAGTTGCACCAGTGAGTTAGAACAATATAATGATACGAAATCCCAAAGCATGAAATTAAAGAGATAAAAATACAAAAATTACCCACACCCACCGCAAGAGCTAAGTGCTCCCTTCCTAGTCAAGCAGGTAACACAATCGATACCCATACCCCAAGCACCCAGAAGTAAAACACCCATTGATGGTGTCGAACTAAAACCAGGAACTCCACCAGAAATTTGTTTTGCTGGACAACCAGAACAAAGGCGTCAATCTCTAGTCGAAACTATGGAAAGAACCCTAGAACAAAATCTCATACAAGGAGGACCCTCTAGGGTTTTACCACATTCAGTGCCCACCATAACACCTCAAAGCACGAAAGCCCACTACAAACCTCCACCACCCGTGGTACCTCCTAAACTGCAAACACCTCGTGGTGAATACTATGAAAGTGATTATGAAAGCGATCGTTGGAAGTATAGTGGCAGTGAATCGGATGAAAATACATTGCGTCCCGCTTTGAAACCCCATCAGGGTGCTTTCAAAACCAATGGTTATGCTGCCGATACTGAAGAAATATCCAGTTTTTTCTAAAATGGAATCTTCCATGATGGAAAAGAAATCCTATTATGAAAGTTCCTCCACTTCAAATGCTACGGGTCCTGGTCTCGAGCAGCAACCCCCAGCCCAACTTTACTTTAGCTCCTCGAATGCCAGCCATCATATGGTCCCGATAAACAGGAATCATTTGCTTCGCAAGAAAATAAATATCATCATGAGGATAAGGTTCGCTTAAAAAGAATAACTAAAAAAATTTTGAATAAAAAAATCAATTCAAAATTCCTTGTCCTTTTAAATGTCTGCAATTAATTCTGTAAAGTAGCACTAAAAACCTTATTATCGTATCGTAGTGTCGTATTTGTGTTCGAAAAAATTTTTTTGGAAGTCGTTAGCAAATCAAGCTTTTTGTTTATTTATCTTTAACTTGTATCTAATTGTATAGTTTGTTCACTTTTGAAATGTTTTATAAAAAAAAAAGCTCGTAATTGTTAAATTTTTCGAATCAAACATTTGTCAGTTACGAGTGTTTAGTTAACCATCGCTATGTTGATGTTGTTGTTAAAAAGCTGTGTTGAAATTTTCATTTGAAATTTAATTCTGCCACGTTCCTGTAAATTAGCACTAATCCTTTCATTTATTCATTTCATAGAGCATTTTTTTATAATCTTTCAATTTGCCCACTTACTCATTTATTTCTAAAGTATGCATTTTAGTTAATAATATGTAAAATTGTTCAAATTAGTTTTAAGTTTTTGTTGTTCTGTTTTATATGTTAAAGTTTAAATTAAGGTTCTAGAGTTGCAAGCTATAAAGACCTTACATTATCGATTACACGATTATCAGGCTCCGATCGAATAATTCAAAAAGACACCTTTATTATTTAGATTATTTAGAATAGAACTGAACTAGTACTGAACTAGTACTGAACTAGAACTAAACTAGAACTGAACTAGAACTGAACTAGAACTGAACTAGAACTGAACTAGAACTGAACTAGAACTGAACTAGAACTGAACTAGAACTGAACTAGAACTGAACTAGAACTGAACTAGAACTGAACTAGAACTGAACTAGAACTGAACTAGAACTGAACTAGAACTCAACTAGAACTGAACTAGAACTGAACTAGAACTGAACTAGAACTGAACTAGAACTGAACTAGAACTGAATTAGAACTGAATTAGAACTGAACTAGAACTGAACTAGAACTGAACTAGAACTGAACTAGAACTGAACTAGAACTGAACTAGAACTGAACTAGAACTGAACTAGAACTGAACTAGAACTGAACTAGAACTGAACTAGAACTGAACTAGAACTGAGCTAGAACTGAACTAGAACTGAACTAGAACTGAACTAGAACTGAACTAGAACTGCACTAGAACTGAACTAGAACTGAACTAGAACTGAACTAGAACTAGAACTGAACTAGAACTGAACTAGAACTGAACTAGAGCTGAACTAGAACTGAACTAGAACTGAACTAGAACTGAACTAGAACTGAACTAGAACTGAACTAGAACTGAACTAGAACTGAACTAGAACTGAACTAGAACTGAACTAGAACTGAATTAGAACTGAATTAGAACTGAACTAGAACTGAACTAGAACTGAACTAGAACTGAACTAGAACTGAACTAGAACTGAACTAGAACTGAACTAGAACTGAACTAGAACTGAACTAGAACTGAACTAGAACTGAACTAGAACTGAACTAGAACTGAACTAGAACTGAACTAGAACTGAGCTAGAACTGAACTAGAACTGAACTAGAACTGAACTAGAACTGAACTAGAACTGAACTAGAACTGAACTAGAACTGAACTAGAACTGATCTAGAACTGATCTAGAACTGAACTAGAACTGAACTAGAACTGAACTAGAACTGAACTAGAACTGAACTAGAACTGAACTAGAACTGAACTAGAACTAAACTAGAATTGAACTAGAACTGAACTAGAACTGAACTGAACTAGAACTCAACTAGAACTGAACTAGAACTGAACTAGAACTGAAGTAGAACTGAACTAGAACTGAACTAGAACTGAACTAGAACTGAACTAGAAGAAGAACTGAACTAGAACTGAACAAGAACTCAACTAGAGCTGCACTAGAAGTGAACTAGAAGTGAAAATAGAAGCTTAGTAGTTGTTAAAAATCCCATAAATCTTTTTATTAAATACAATTTTGAATTTATTTCTTTGCCCCTAAATCATTAATAGTAGTATCCGATAATATCCTATGTAGCAATAAGTAGAGAGTTAGTTCTTTAAAATCTAAATTTTGCAAAAGAATTTTTCAGCTCATAGCTCATAGAAAAAACGCTTAATTTTGAACTCTAAAACTTTGTACCAGGCATGTATGTTTAAGTTCTATTAAAAAATACTTATGTTAAATTTAATCCTAAATGTTAAACACTTGTTCTTAAGCCACTAATTTTATAACAAAAGCCATTGTTCGTATGTTCTTTGAAAAAAGATATCCATTAAAATTTCTTCCACTAATTAAAATTTATTGCTTTCCTTCCCTTAGGATTATAAGGTTACATCGATGACCAAAAATATTGCCTACAATATGTCGTCGTCATCCACGACTGGACCCAAATTCCAGTCGACACCTATTAAAGCACCAGTAGCACCTAGTCCTATACCAGTGCAACGTAAGACACCAGCAGAATTCAGTGACTATAGCAGTGAAATTGATGAACGCTTCCGTTCTGTGTCACGCAATTGTGAGTCAGAGAGTGAAATTAAGGGCTATCGTGTAGTATTTCCACCTACACCAGTACCCAAGACGAATGGTCACAAATCGCCTGTAGTGGTGGTAACACCCTCACCCATGGAATTTGAGTCCGTGGCACCAAAACCCAAGTTTGAACCCATTAGACAAGAGCAAACAAGGCATGAGGTTAAAACCGAAACTAGTAAGCAATTTTATAGCTCTAAACAGCAACAACAACAGCAGCAAACCCAGCAAGTTTTCAAGCCTAAACCAGTAGCTGCTAAGTTCTTGGCTGCCGCCCAACAGCAACAAACACCTCCACCACCACAGCCTCAATTTAGGCCACAGCCCCAATATCAGCAACCTGCACCTAGTGCCCAACCTACCATGTATTACAATGCCATAGCTGGAACTCCTTTGCATATGGCCAAAATGGCTACTGAAACCAAGAATGTTATGCAAATGAAAGAGTCCTCCGAGACCTGTCAACGTGTGGTGAATATGC